ACGCGGGGTAAAGCCTCAGAAGTAAATTTTCTCTGAGATAGAAAATGAAAAAAAAAAGCTTTATAATGACTTTTTTCTTTAGGAATTATGTAACAACGTCCAATAAAACAACAAAAAAAATGCTTGTGTAATTTTATTTAGGAGACTCTTCTTGGCTTTCCATGTAATCTTTTGTTATGGAACCAAACAAAGGGAGTCGCCTTTGTCTTCAGCTTCTACGCTACATTGGACTTTGATGACACTAATACGTGGTTTCTCTACCTGCTTCCACATTTAAGCCTCAATCTGATGAATATCTTGCATTCCAACTCTGCCAGGTGAATAAAACTTGTTTCTTCATGTGACCCTTCACTAAAATATTCAATAAAAAGTTCTACTAACTTTCCTCTGATTTGGGAAGTGAAACAAGCTACTTGATTTGAAGTAGAAGAAGAAACTCCCACAGTTTCCGATCACTTCGGCTCTGAAGGAAAGAATGTGCATTTGGCTGCAAAAACGAGGAGTCGTGGAACAGTTTTACCTCATCTGTGGTTTCATTTATGGATTCATCTGGTTCTAACACAAACATGTGGGCAATATGCATGGCAAATGATGAGTGGTTGTTTTCACACAGCTGACTAATCCTGTTGCCAATGGAGAGCTTTACCCTACGTCCATGATTCTGTTCCAACACAGCAGAGCTGTCAGCCAGACTCAGCCTCAATCTCTGTCAGTCCAGTGGACTCACAGTCAGCAGGATCTAGATCAGTACATCTCTGAAGAACAGCCACTCACAGTACGCCAGTCAACCCTACGTACAACAGTTTTCTCACTCGCGATTGAAAATTTATTTATTCTTTATTGGAAGGTCCAATTGAGATTAAAAAAAAAAAAACAAATTTTCAAGGGGGTCCTGATTTGAAAATAGCGTTTTTAGCCCCATTTTTTTGTTCTTCCAGCAACCAATGGCCTGGAGATGGGCGTGTCTTAATAATAATAATAATAATAATAAATCAAACTTATATAGCGCTTTTTAGGTCACTCAAAGACGTGTCACAAAAGGCAATAAACACATCATAAAACAAAATGTAAAATTCTGAACAAAACTGGGGGCATGCTGGGTTAGTATTAGGGAAGGCTAAGCCGAGTGGCTCGCCGGATGAAGTGATGCCAACGCGCCTCTTTAAAGAAGTCTTTCCAGTAGTCGCCCCTTTAATATTGCACATAATTAACATGAGTCTCAGTTCTGGTATAGTCCCTGACGATTTAAAAAAAACGGTCATTCAACCTTTGCTCAAAAAGCCTGGACTGGATGCTTCGCTGGCTGCAAACTACAGGCCCATTTCAAAACGTCCTTTCTTGAGTAAGGTGCTAGAGAAATGTGTTTACCACCAGCTCTTGGTTTTTATGGACGAGAATGCCATTTTTGAGACTTTCCAGTCTGGCTTCAGAGCTCTACACAGCACGGAGACTGCTCTGGTTAGAGTGCTCAATGACATCTATCTAGCGACTGATAGAGGTAATTCTGTGATGCTACTTCTGCTGGACCTCACGGCAGCCTTTGACACGATAGACCATGAAGTGCTGCTTCACCGTCTTCATCATTATGTCGGGATTTCAGGATTAGCCCTGGAATGGTTTAGGTCATACCTGACAAATAGAAAAATGTGTGTTAGGATGGGAAGTTATTCCTCAGAGTACTCTGATCTACCTTGGGGGGTACCACCGGGCTCGATATTGGGACCTCTGTTGTTTTCTATTTACATTCTACCCTTAGGTGACATCTGTCGTGAGCTTGGAGTTCAATTCCATCTTTATGCTGACGACTGTCAACTGTACCTGCCTCTGAACACGTCAAGTGGTCTCTCTATTTCCATTCTTACAAACTGTTTGAGGGAGATCAAGACCTGGATGACTGAAAATTTTCTGAGCCTAAATGATCAGAAAACAGAGGCTATATTGTTTGCTCCAAGCATACATTGTGACTCTTCCCTAACTGACTGTGGGTCATTTAAGGGACAGCTGTCTACATTGGTGACTAATCTTGGTGTTAAACTGGATAGCGCCCTTAGTTTTGATACCCATATCAATGGAGTGATCTCCTCCTCCTTTTTCCACCTTCGTCGGCTGGCAAAGATCAAACCATTTCTGTCACGTCATGATCTTGAGACGTTGGTCCATGCTTTTATTACGGTGCGATTGGTCTACTGCAACTCTGTTCTATTCGGTGTGAGCAAGGGCTCAATAGCCAGGTTGCAAATGGTCCAGAATGCTGCTGCCAGATTTTTAGAGGGCAGGCGCAAGTTTGACCACATAACTCCTGTCCTGGCTGCGCTTCACTGGCTGCCCGTTGATGTTAGGATTCATTTTAAAATACTTTTACTAGTTTTTAAAACGTTAAATGGTTTAGCCCCTCCTTACTTGGTGTCACTACTTCAACCTTACACCCCTTCACGGTCACTCCGCTCGGAGAACTTCACGCTCCTCTCGGTCCCAAGAACGCGCCTAAAGACGCGTGGTGATAGGGCTTTTGCTGTGGCAGGTCCTAAGCTTTGGAATAAGATTCCTCTCAGCATAAGGGCCTCCACCTCTGTTGCAGTTTTTAAGGCAAGGCTAAAAACATATTTTTATGACCTGTCTTTTAACCTTTCTAACTAGTTTTATTGTTTTACTCATAGCGATTTTACTCACTGTAGTTTTATCTGTATCGTGTGATACAATGTTTTATTTTCTGGACTAACTGTTTTATGTTTTTATTTGATCAGTGTAGCGCCTTGGTGGCATCTTTTTGCCTGTAAGGCGCGATTTATAAATAAAGTTGAGTTGAGTTGAGTAGGGATGGGCCAATTTGAAGAAGTGGGTTTTAAGCTGTAATTTGAAAGAAGAGGACGAGATGGCATTTCTGATGTTTAGTGGGAGAAAGTTCCAAAGTGTGGGGGCAGCAGCTGCAAAGGCTCGATCCCCCATGGTACGGTCTGCTGTTTTGAAAGGGGAAAGGAGATTGGAGTCAGTAGAAGGAAGGTGTCAGATAGGAGAATGGATATGGAGAAGTTCGGTCAGATAGGAAGGCACAAGATTCGTGAGGCATTTGTAGGTGATGAGGAGCAATTTGTAATGGATCCGGTATGGGTCAGGGAGTTATGTGGTCCCTGGAGTGGGTGTGGGTGAGTAATGGGCCATTCCCATCTGTACCGGGTCGGCCCGGGCCGGGTAGCGTAGGTTGTTTATATATCTGGGTGGCCTGGTATTTTTCCGGGCCAACCAAGGCTCATTCTCAGCCCTCTTCTCGAGGGGGTCTGCTTCAGGCTGACCAGGCCCAACACACCCACTGCTGACAGCAAATTCACACCTTCCATTAGAGCAAGCCTCTGATTGGTGGGTAGAATCAGCCCACATGGGCTTAAGGCAAGGATGTGTGGAATCAACCGGGCCAGGCTGGGGCCGACTGGGGCTACCCGGCCCGGGCCGACCCGGTACAGATGGGAATGGCCCATAAATGTGCTGCTGAGTTTTGGATGTATTGCAGTTTTTGTAGGGCTGATGAAGGAAGTCTGTAAAGAATGCTGTTACAGGACTCCAGTCTAGAGGTTATGTAGGCAAAGATGAGTGTTTGGGCAGTGGAGTCAGTGAGGGATGGACAGAGACAGGCAATGTTGCAGAGGTGGAAGAACGATACCCTGGTGATGTTGTTGATGTGAGACAAAGGAAAGGGAGGAGTCAAAGATGACACCAAGATTACAGACTGTAGAGGAGGGAGTCACTGCGAGACCGTCAATTTGGAGGGAAATATTTTGAACAGAGGGTAGGAGAGATTTGGGACTAGCGATGATGAGTTCTGTTTTGGAGCAGTTCAATTTGAGGAAGTTTGTGTCCATCCAGTGTTTTATGTCGGAGAGGCATCCTGAGATCGCGGAAAGAATGGCTGGGGTGATTGATTTGCTGGAGATGTAAAGTTGTGTGTTGTCAGCGTAGCAATGAAAATGAAGACCATGTTGGCATATGATGTGACCGAGGGGGAGCATGTAAAGGATGAAGAGGAGGGGCCCCAGCACAGAGCCCTGGGGAACACCATAGGTGACAGGGGCAGTGTGAGACAGAGACATAGTGGTAGTGGTCGGAGAGGTAAGAGGTACAGTAGGCTCCCTGTAGAAGCATTAAAGACCCATATGACAGCATGAAGGATCCAAAAGGTGATATTGCCCTCTTGAAAGTTGAAATAAAGTGAAAATGCAAACATATCAAGCACTTTCCACCAACTTTGCTGTTATATGATGTCATTGCAACATGACTAGAAAAAGCAATGCTGGTCCTGGTCCAAAACAAATGATGTTGGTGGTGAATAACTGCAGGCCATGTGCTTTTTTTCTGCCTGAGTGGAAAAAATTTCCATTTGTTTGTTGACAATTTTAATTGAGGACTAAAAACACACTGGCCTACTTTCTAACTACACAATGACCTACCATGATCCATATCTGGGATCAGCTCGACTTTCTCTGCAAGTCAAAATCCTACAACTTCATCAGAAAATATAAAGATATAAGATAAAGCTTTCCCAAGTATTTAGAAATTGATTTGGACAACAACACATCACGGAATAAAGCTTTTCTTTTCTTTTCTCAACTTTATTTTCATTTATTGACATTAAAATAAAAATACAAAATTGAAATGCTAAAAGCCAAACCGAAAAAGGGGACAGAAAAAAGAAAAAACTTATGTTATCTGCCCCTTTTAACTAAAATAACATTAATACAAATGAAACAATCATATGATTCTTAAAAAAATGTGAACAATATAGTTTCCGGACTGGCTGGCCGACACAACCCCAACCCATGAATCGAAAAAAGAGAGAAAACGAGTTACACAGAAAGAAGCACAAAGCTATACACATATATACCTACATATATACACATATGCATACACAGACCCTTTCCCCCTTTTTTTTCTTTTTTTTTTCTTTCACCCCCAACCCCCCTCCCCTCACGCGTTTCTGTAACAGATCTATATAAGTTAATCATTTCATTTTTTATCTCTTTTTTGAAAGTCAAATTTTTTTTGCATTCTTGATTTCAGCATTTAATTTATTCCACATTTTAACTCCATATATGGACACACAATGTTCCTTTATGAGTATCCTATGTCTTGGTATATTAAATAAGTCATGCCCTTTTAAATCATATTTGCTATGTCTTTTTGTAAATCTTGTGATTAAACCTGCAGGTGCATACCCTTTGTTTGCAATATACATAAATTTTAAAATATTGTAGTCCACCAGATCATAGAATTTTAGTTTTTTTAATTTTATAAATAATGGATTGGATGGATCTCCGTAGTTGCTCCTTGTGATTATTCTTATTGCTTTTTTTGTAAGATGTAAATGGAATTTGTGTAAGTTTTATATGTTGTTCCCCAGATTTCAATGCAGTAGTTCATGTACGGTATGATCAGTGAGTTATATAACAAATATAGGGAATTATTATCAAGTAACCATTTTGCTCTAACAGTGCAATGGTTTTAGATATTTTAGTTTTGACACTGTTTATATGTAGTTTCCAAGACATTTTTTCATCAATGATGACTCCCAGATACTTGACTTCTTTAATTCTTTTAATATTAATCTCATCTATATTTAATAAAATGTCATCATTTAAATATGTATTACTTAATATCTTAAAACATGATTTATCACTGTTTAGTGATAGTTTGTTCCCATCAAACCATAGTTTAATTTTTTTCATCTCTGTTTGTATCACTTCTATCATCTGCTCAACATTATCTCCTGAATAATAAAAAGTTGTATCATCTGCAAATAAGGTGCATTTTAATATATTGGATACCTCAACAATGTCATTTATATAAATGATAAATAGTTTAGGGCCCAATACCGACCCTTGTGGTACACCACAAGTAATGTTATTTATATGTGATTTTGTGTTGTGTATTTGAACATATTACTGCCTATCAGTTAGATAACTTATTATCCATTTTAGGGCCATCCCTGTGATGCCATATTTACTAAGTTTTTTAATAAAAATTTTATAATCCACTGTATCGAATGCTTTTTTAAATCAATAAAGATACTTATGAGATGAGGTTTTTTTTTGTCAGTGGCTTTCTTTTAAAACTATTTAAAGAGATTTGAGGCACATGATCAAAGTGCTGAAAATAGATGCTGAACCGTTGCTCAGCTCTGGCAGGACAATCAGCCTTTTTCCACATTAATCCAAAGTGTTGCACTCACAGTGTGGTTCAGGCAGTTAGTGGGTTGCTTTAAGTGACCACCCAACTTCAGCTGTAGCCCAAACACAACATGGACCCCAGCCAGGGGAAAAAAGACAAACCCACTGGGTTACCCTGGGAAATTATTCAAATAAGAGCTGATATTAGATCTGACTAATACAACGGGTTCAATGAGTCCCTGCATCAGACAGAAATCAGCAGTAGTCCAGCTCCACCCATCAAATTATTAAACAAACTGTTTCACATCATGTGTCAGTATGACCTGTAGTTTTGATCCAGATTAATGAGTTTGCACAGTTTGTTGCCCAGCTGATATGCATTTTGAAAAGGATAATTAACCCCATTCAAATTCTACTTTCTTTAGCATAATCCAAGGCTGAATCACAGATGCAGCAGGACCAGGAGGAAAACATCTGCCTCTCCAGCAACACTACCCAGATCCATTGGGATAACTTCAAAGTGTTCCCAGGGACCCCTCTGATGAGCTCTGGGTCATTCCCAGATAATGCTCTCAGTGGGCAGCGACATGATAACAACCAGAGAAAGGCATCCAAGACGTATCCTGATTACACACATGAACTATAGGCTGACTTTTTAATGCGGAGGAGCAGAGACTTTGTGCCAATATGAAGCTCCTCAATTTATCTTTATCCCTACAGCTTTCCCCTGGTTATGTACGCAGCTCATAACGTTAATAGACACATCTTACACACGGAAACCCTTAGTGTTTCAGATACAAAACAGCAGCAAAAGCACTCCACGCTGCTTGTCCCATGAGATCACAAAATCACTTGAGAATTGCAAGACCACTCATGATTTCAGCAGTTCACATGATACCAAGACAGCAGCATGAATCTGAAAATGTCTGTGGTTTATTTTCTGCTCTGTTTACCTCAGCTATGGAAATTTCACATCTAATGACATACCTTTTTGTTTATTACACTTTAAGCAACTGGAATGTATGTGACTTTTATTTTGAAAGTTTCTAGATGGTTTAAACTGCTTTTCTGTTCTACTTCTGGTGTGGCCCAATCTGAACGACTAAGCTTGACACGTTCTAGAACTATAACGTGTAAGAATAGACTCAAAGTGTACTACACCTGGGACACGCCCAAAACATAATGCTTCGTGGCCAACGGAAACGCTCCCATCCACCATAACAACGGTTAGTTGCTGCCTACTGTGCTTCACAAACAATACACAACGCTTTTGCATCTAGTGGAAGGGTGCAGTAAGGCCATGTGGAGGAAGCTTGTTCAATACTGATCTAAAACCGCATGATCATTGGTGAGATTGACAAGTCTGTCAAAGATCCATGGTGTTATAAACTAACCAGTTAAGAGTAAATAGTGACGAAGCTACGTTAAGCACAACCTTTATAAAACAATAGCTTTTGTGTTGTCTTTTTCCTCTCATTCATGGTCACTAACCATGCTGTTGAAATGCAATAATCAGAAATACTTTAAACTACAGTTCAGGCCGTCAATTAAGAGTTAAACATCAGTGATTATAAAGAAATCAGGTCAAGTTTCAGAACATGGAGAAAAAGGCTGAAACCACATGATCAGACTTCTCCAATAAACTAGCTACTTTACTAATAAAGTTCCGTTACATCATTAAATACATGGAATTACTGAAACAATTAACACACAAACTTTCTGTAAGAGATGAAAAGCTGCAGCACAGTGACGGTGTGTGAGGAGAGCTCAGCAGCTGCCACTCAGACTGATCCCAGAGTCAAAACGTACAAATATAACTAAACTAAAGAAACACTGTTGAACAGGGCAGGTCTGCCCGTGTCACAGTGAATCTGCTTATGCACATATCCCAGCATTGTTTTAGGGGGCACAAACATTGCAAGAAATGACATTTCTTTGTTGGGTAGTCTTCACTAAAGAGTGATTTTCATACCTCAGGTGCTTCAGAATGCCCCTGCTGCTCTTCTTCATCTGACTTCTGCATGACAGCAGCAGCAACTCTGAAGTCCCTCTGATTCAAACAGAAACGTGTTCAGTCTGTCACCTCTACATCTAAATAATGAAGAATATTTTTATTCACCTTGTTGAATCCAACGATCTGCTCCGCGACGCCGCTGATGAGCAGCAGGTAGCGGTGTAGTCTCGTTTGGTACTTCAGCGCAGCCAGTAGAGCCTCTTTGTGAAGAGATGTCACCTGAGCCAGCAGGGTTCGCTCCCTCCTGTTCCACCTGAGCCGCGCCACCCGGGCTTCCCGCTCCAAAGTTGCGCGTCTGCGCTCCAGCGCGTCGGTGAGCGCGCGGAGCGCCTCCACACAACGGTGCTCCTCACCGGATACCTGGAGACCGCAAACCTCGTCACCACTAAGAACCGGGTTTGGGTCTCCGTGCGGCTTCATCTTCTCTGGATTTCAAATGTCTATCACTGCGTCCGTTTCCACAAAAACTTTGGGCAGTCAGCGCACGCGCGTAATTTGCGTAACCTTCCTGTGAGGAGCTGGGATGGAATGAGTTCACGTGTCTGAACTGAGGCACGTTTGAGTGATGTGCGAAGCTTAGATGCGTCTGCGCCACTGAGGACGAGTTAATGTTTTTTATTGTTTGTACATTTCTGGTTTGTTTGTGTCCCTGTGGTTTTTAGCACTTAAAGCATATAATTTTAGATTTTTTCAAAATTTTCAAATACGTAATTTATTGATTATTTTTTCTTGGTTTGATCCAAAAATAAAAATGAGCAACAAAAGTGCAGAACCGAAAGTGATCGAATGGGTTTCTGTGAAAATATCACGAGCAAATCTCACCTGGTTGGCCTCTGTTTGGAAACAGAGATTTGTTCTGATTAAACACAAGAACTCATGGACTATATGGGGCCAAATTAGTTTCTGTTGTCCTAACAACCACTCTAATCTCAAAAAGGAAAATTAGAATAAATGAGCTAGAATAATGCTGTAATCAGTGAAAAATGACATTTCTGCTGTAAATGTTTTGAGATTGGAGGTGTTTAGGGACCAGTTCAGTGGTCTAGTGGTAAAGTGTCGGGACTGGGAGATCGGGGTTCAAATCCCAGTTGGATCACACCAAAGACTTTTAAAAAATGGGACCAAATGCCTCCCTGCTTGACACTTGGCTTTACTGCACTCTTAAAAATAAAGGTTCCAGTTAGAACCAAAGACGGTTCTTCACAGTGATGCCATGGGTTGGATTGGAGGGAAACCACCAAATAGTTCCCGAGCATGGCCGTGTCTGTAGCTCACTGCTCCCCACGGGGATGAGTCAAATGCGGAGGGCATGTTTCCCACACACCAGTAAGGGTGACAACTATTGGACTTTAACTTTAACCTTAGACATTTTGTAATTGATCTCATTTGGACTCTTTTTTTTTATTGTCTTTTTCAATGAACCCTACTCAAAAGATGAACACACCCTTCCACAGGGGCCGACTCCGCTCCGTTCCACTCCATGCAGTAAGCCCCAGCTCGCTCCAGCCTGGCTGAGCTGAGAGAATGTGAACGTGACTGAACCCATGGGCAGTCTCCAAAACTGGCGCGGATATCAGTGATGTCACGAGTGCATCTCTGAGCATCTGGGCGGGGTAAAAGACGTGCCGAGAAGTCCGTTAAAGAGCAAATTGCAGGTTAGAGACTCCCATGAACCAATGTTTAGAGAAACATAATAGAAACTTGTTTTAAAAGTTTTTTTTTACACATACATGAATTATTTAGACTTTTAGAGTCATTTTTATGACTGAGAAAGTTTTGCCAAGTGACGTCAGCTGTCATGTATGTTAGCTTAATCCAGAGAAAAATATGGATTGTAATGCTGGCTCTGACACAGAGGAAACTTTAAATGTTTATAATTCTACTTCTGATGGACCAAAACCATAAAGTTATGAGTTTGCTGCATGCCCCTGAGAGCAGAGACAAATCATCGGTGAAAGCAGAGAGACTGAGGAGGAGAAGCGGGTGGGGGGTGGGGTGGGGTGGGGGGGTGGTGGGGGGGTGGGGGGGTGAGTTCACGATGCTAGCTTAAACTCGTGTGCTAACATCACAATATTGTACAGATTACTAGCATGTACCAGACAGTTAAAATAGTAGTGGTGAGTTAATATAATGTTAATGCTAATCAGCGTCTGTCAGCGGTCTCATACTCGTTAATATCCGTTCACCTAACATAGTTTAATGCTTTAAAGAGTGGGAGAGCTTCCGGTTCTGGAGCTCATGCAGGTTTCTGTGAGCTCAATCTGACCCAAACACCAGCAAGCCAGTCCAGTTGGTATTTTTAAAAGCTGTACATCGCTGACGTCGTTAGGTCCGTTTTAGGGGGGCTTCAGCCCCCCTAAAATAATCACAAGCCCCCCTATCATTTTGGTTTATTTTATTTTTTTCAGTTAACTTTTTTTTATTTGTTCACATCTACATGCTGAACACAATCACGACACGTGTAGTTGGTACATGAGTTTTTTAGTCTGAAACAGAAATAATAATTAATGAATATAGAACTACACCGTCGCACACAGGAAGTATCAAGAAAGAACTTCCTCCACTTCCTTAAGCCCGCAGCTTTGTTGACAAGTCAGGGGGCGGGTCGATACAGAAAAACCTATATATCGATGAGCAAACCCTGCTCAGCGCTCATGTAAGTCACTCAACATCACATTAGGGTAAGACAGCAACAGCAGCACACCGTTAATATTTCAAGGTTATAGTTCAGACGAGAGTGGAAAATGCTACCGCACCGACATGCTAATGCTAACTCCGCTAGCATGTTTACATGCCGCAAACCATAATGAAAAGCTTTGATGTCAAGTAAAATGGTCAGAAAACTCCCCTGAAGTGACATGATTAACCAGCCAGCCAGTTCATTGAGTGATTTAGTGCCACCAACTTGAGAGTACAGTAATGAGTCTGCACAAACAGAACCTTCTCTGATCTTGTGTGCAGCAGCTGCAGCCCTCTCTATGGGATCAAGTCTGCCAGTGGTGGGCAGTCAGGGCCAGCAAAGCCTTCTCTGCTGGCCTAAACTTACTCAAAAACGTAAATGTATTTTTTTTCCTTTGGTAAATATTTTTAAATAAAAAAATGTTCACTGGTCTATTTTCTTTATATCCTATTATACCCACTTGGCCGCGCTGCTTCCAGTGTTAAAATGCCAAGGTTGGGTGTTATCCAATCAGATTTAAGCTAGCTTGTTTTCAGGCAGATTAAGTCTGCTCTAGGCCTTCAGAATCAATCGAGAAGCCCACTGTCCGCTGTAAGTGAACAGAGACGAGCCAGTTGCGATAGCCAATCAGCTCACGAGTCAGCTTGGCCAGGGCCAGCTAGCTGGCCTCACGCAAAAGTTGACATGAACGCATCCTGTGATTGGATGAGCAGTAGTTAGAACTTTTCTAGCGGCATGAAGCAAAATATCAAAACTAAACACGGAGATTTGTATCTATAGGCAGCTATCGGTGTATTTTTGAACACATGATGGCTGAAAGAGGAGAAGAGACAGACTTGGTTGCAGATTTACTTGCCACACAATTTTCCAGATGGACCTTTCAAGAAAAAATGGATCTTGTGAGAACAGGTCGTCCGACTCCAATGCTAGCTGGCTTGTCCCAGCTGGGGAAAGGATTTGTTCGTCATTTTCAGGCAAGCAACTATGAACGGTACCCATGGCTAACAGCTTCAGAGAACTGCTGCAGGTTATTCTGCTGGGAATGCCTGTTGCTCGCATCAGATGGATTTGGTAGCATTAAAGCGCGTTAAAATGTACGCCAGAAACACGACCGGACCATCGGACAAACACGGCTTTCAGCATTAGCCTCCATGTCCATAAAAAAGGATCCACTCATGGACATGAAGCGCACGGATAAACTGTACAGAGCCAATGAGGTTTTCCTGAGGAAAGAAAGTAGGATGGATTTTATTTTCTAATGAGCAGGAGATCCATGCTGGACATTTATGTTGGTGAGTAGAAACATTTCATTAGTATTTTTTAATGTTTTGTCATTTTATTTTGTTAATAATGAATGGTAATGAAATAAAACGGCTAAATGAAATTATTCTATGTGTTCTGTTTCTATGCAATTTATATTGTGTATAATGTGGTGTGTGCAGCTGCGCCAACATGTTCAATTGTTTTGCGGTGCAATTTTCTCCAAAACAAATGCAAATAATGTGTTTGCTTTACTTATTTATTGTATTGTCTCATCTCTTAAACCCATCTTTCATTTTTGAGATTTGACAGTATCCGTGGTCTTAGTTTCCTACTCTCAATTGGGAAAGCGAGTTTGATTTTAAAGGCTCCGGATATTACGTGTCTTGCCCAGCCACTGGTGTGTGTGTGTGTGTGTGTGTGTGTGTGTGTGTGTGTGTGTGTGTGTGTGTGTGTGTGTGTGTGTGTGTGTGTGTGTGTGTGTGTGTGTGTGTGTGTGTGTGTGTGTGTGAGAGAGAGAGGCTTCTCCAGCTGTGATGTCCTATTGATGGTATTTTAAGGTGTATTAATTTAGATTGGACTGAATAGGAAATCACTGAAGGCCCAGGGGTGGAATGCACCGCCCGCCACTGAATTCTGCACATGCAAATCTCTCCCTGCTCTCCTCAACAAGTAGCCTCTCCACCAGTCAATCACAGACAGCTCTGTTTTATCCAATCAAAGCATGTCCAGGAAACACTGCTTTACAGAAAAACACCAATTTAACAGCTTATTGAACTGCTTTCTGCTGCTGGTTAGCTACCAGTCACCATCCACTGCCTGCAAGATAATTTGTTGTAATTCATGTGTCATGATTAGAGTGACCATATTTGACTTCCAGGAAAGACACATTGCCTATTCCTAAAACTGTTAAATTGCACTCTTTTCAGTTAAAAATGACTTTTAATTTCAACATATAAAGTGTTTCTTCTCTGTTTGGTTAGACATAAATGATCCCTTGATGTGTAAAAGGAAGTGAACAGTGGAAATGTCCCAGGAAAAGAGGAGGGTTAATCAACCTAATTAAATATAATTATATAAAGTCCTCTTTATCTGAAAAAAGTGCAATTTTCCTGCCAGTATTTCCTGGACATGCTTTGATTGCATAATGGAGAGCTCTCTGATTGGCTGACGGAGAGGCTACATTGCTTTGTAAATTGCAAATTGAGCAACAGCAGGGAGATTTGTGCAGGCAGAGACGGAGTTGAGCATGCAGAGAGAGGGCTGCATACGACGTGCTCTTGCAGATTTATCACTGCACACTCCAGTTGGTGGCACAAAAATCACTCCACACTAAAAACCTGAATCAGAATATGGCCGAATGTGTATATTATTGACCGTTTTTCTATATTACATATTTCTTCTATAATATATATATATTATATTATAGGTACATTTATGTATCTATAATAAACAGCCAGTTTTATATATGTCACATATATTTAAAAGCTATATCAAAACATATATTAAAACCTATATGTTTATATGAATTCTTTCCATGTGGGTTGTCAATTGCTTAATATTTCCTATGTTTACCTATGGTAAAGAAAGGAGATGTTGTACCCGTCTAACTTTAACATAAATTTTGGCAGCCTAATGTGACGTTATGGAAAATGCTATCATCATGAGCAACCAAACATGGGCTATATTAGGCTAACAGTTGTCCATATTCTGTACCATTTATCCACCAATGGCTGTTTCAATTATTGTGAGTGAAAACTAAATGGCATAGTAGCATTTGTCTTGGCATTAGAAACTGAAAATGTTTTTCAATGTGTTGGCTAGATGGATATACGAAGATTTTTAAGAGAGTGAGTGAGGAACAAGAGAGAGACCAGGTGGTTGATGCTGAGGAGATCTGCATGGTCAAGGTCAGTGATCTACAGCAAAAACAGGGGCGAGCGCATCGTTATGACCATTTACCTGAGCACAAAGTTCCCAAGCAAAATTGAACAGTTTTCTATTTAGGAGTGAACAGGTAAGAAACATTGAGAAAAAAATAACTATAATTATCATCTGGCCTGCAACCTTATGTCAAGTTGTATCTGTATAGTTGACTTTCTGTATTATAAGTTCTACTACTTGCTGGATATTTTTATATATACTGTTATTTTGTCTTGTAATTGTTAATTACATACTCCTTTATTCCATATCATAGCAGTGTTATTCATATATTAAAACTGTCAACTGCACACTCATTTGGCAGAAAAAAAGTTTTACAATTATTCATTTGTTCTTTATTGTCACATTTCAGTAACAGTTATAGTTAAACAAGTTGTAATTAAACAAATAAATGACTACAACATTTCCCCCTGTTAAGTGCAGTAGACTGAAATGAATAGCTTTATTTGGAAATATAACATATCTAATTTTTAATGGACTTATATAAAATCTTTCTTCAACATAGACCCCACTAATGAACTGATTAAGTGTTATTTTTTATGAAAAGAAGAGAGAAAATGCACAAAAATAGGAAAGGAATAGAAAGTGATAAAATAATAGGTTTTGTTAAATGTTCTTCAGATAATGAATTAATTGACAAAGTTTTTGCAGGGTGTGACAAAAAACGTTCGAGGTCAAGCTCCTGGGGCTAAGCCCCCCCTATATCTCAATCCTAGTGACGTCCATGCTGTACATGATGCTCTCCTGGTTGTCCGGGTGGCGGTTCTGATCCGGTTCCGACCCGGAAACCAACTGGCCCGCTGAACTGTGCATCTCTTCTGGTGGTCGGTTCTGACCTGGTTCTGATGGTGATCTGAGCTTCAGAAATATGCATTTCATTTTTAAACCCCACCACGGGTCTCCGGAGCCCAGCGTGGACCTCTCTGTCCCGGTACCGACCGATGTGGGCTACAGAAGTCCGTCTTTCAGCTGCAGAAACGCCCTCGGGCACGGAGATAGAGGCGTTGTTTCTCTGATCTGGAAACCCGTGGACTCGATGTCCAGACAGGCTGGAGTTGGTACAGCCTTCACACACTATGGTTTATCAACATGAACACAACCCAAAAACACACGCACTGACTGGATCACATGACCTCTCTACCCTAAAACTAGCCACTCTCCACACTGAGCTGAGGCAGCCTAGCTTCTAACTCCCTTTGGTTACGTCAGAGGTTCAGATTTAGAAAAAAGAGCCTTTTTAGAAGCTTTGCTCAGAAAGGCCACTTTTTACTAGAAAACTGCTGTTTTAAAACCAAATATCCACAATAAGCATTTCAAATTGTATTTTCGGACAGCATTTTATATGAATTAGAAAAAAAGTTACCTGCAATTTGCTCTTTAAAGTAAACAACAGCAGCTGCGAGCAATGTTGCTTTTGGAGACTCTGACACTAATACTGCATCCTGCAGTGTCTGTCCTGGCGCAGCTCAAGCCTGGCAGCGCTCTGTGTGTGTGTGTGTGTGTGTGTATGTGTGTGTGTGTGTGTGTGTGTGTGTGTGTGTGTGTGTGCGCGTGTGTGTGTGTGTGCGTGTGTGTGTGTGTGTGTGTGTGTGTGTGTGTGTGTGTGTGTGTGTGTGTGTGTGTGTGTGTGTGCTCCCCAGAAAGAGACAGAAAAAAAGAGACGGCTTCAGTCAGAGCCATTGTTTTCTCCTCAGTATCCAGAATTTTAACGGATCGCGCATGGAAGTACCCATAGCCGCTGGCTGATTCTACCTGCCAATCAGAAGCTCCCCCTATATGAATTTGAGCTGGCCAATAAGTTGTCAGTGGGTGTGCTGGACCAGTTCAGCCCGAAGCAGACTGCTTTGAGATGAGGGCTGAAAAGAAAAACAGTTGCATGTGGAAAATATGTGAACACATACCGTGTCTTGGTGGAATGGAGCCGATGCTGGTGTGCAAGCCCCATAATACTTGTGTGTAATAATGTTACCTCTTCATCCAGCAAGGGTCACTCATCCAATCACAGCTCTCCGGATAGTTTTGGCAGCAGAATTCCTGCACAGATTAAACTGATTAATAAACTTTGTCATGTCATTGTTCCTCAATTATGGCTTTTTTCTGTAAATTAAATTCAGCGTATTTCTCAAATCAAGGATATTTCTTTGGTGACTAAATTCAACATCTCTGTTGAGATCTTTGTTTTGAAAGCTGTCTGCCTGTGCCCTTCTCAGTGTTTTATCCTGATGCTGCAACACACTTCAGTCCTGTCAGACAGCATCACATTTCTGGTCTTTGGGTTTAACTCTGCAATTCAAATAGTATTTTGTGTTGTCTGAGCTGTCAAAGAACATGTGTGGGTTTACACATTTATACAAACCGTTGTGTGAACAACAAAAACCCGAGAACAAGGAAGTCATAAGGTCCTCTAAATAAAGGATTATAGTTTCACTTTTATTTTTTATTTACTTATTTTTATTTATTTTATGAAATGGTGCCACGAAGCCACCAGCAGCATTATCGGATATGAAGCAACAACAAAACAGCTGTGCTATCACAGGGAAAAAGAAGGATCTATCTTTTGTTCTCTCATAGGTGAGCTGATTTCCCTGAATGACTGTGATGGATTTGACTGAAACCGAAGATCTAAATCAGATTGATTTGTTCTGACCTCCTCCAAGAAGAGAAGCATTATCAATTTACCTTTCATCTGCTTGATATCCTACAGAAGACAAACTCTCACAGCTGAGTCTTCCTGGCAAACCAGAACAGGTCTTATCTCTAACAGGGGATGGGCTGAAACACCATCTAATACGGGAATAGAATTAGGAGTGTGTGTGTGCGTGTGTGTGTGTGTGTGGGGGGGGGGGGGGGGGGGCTTTCAGATGGACAAAAAGTGGAAGAGGGGGAGGTTGTCAAAATTGTCACTGATAAATGAAATGATTGAAGGATAATGATGATGGATTAGGTGTGCATGGCATTTGTTTGTCCAAGGAACCCAGAGAATCCATTGCTCATTTACTGACTGGTGATAATGGTAAAGTCAGAAAAAACTGCCAGTTTGCACCGTGGGCTCCTCTGACTGCAATCAACTCAAAGGTGTTGCGGACGATTGTTTACTTCCGGGTGGATCATCTGAACCATTGGTCCGCATAACTGACAATCATTCTGATGACGCTTTCATGCAAGGCCAATTTGCATTTGTTGACTTGATGACTTGAGCATATTTGATATTTTAGCACAAAAGTGGCACGACATGGACAAAAATCATAAATCGTTCTTCGTTCTTGGTTTGATCTTGTTCTGCTGAATACAGCAGCACTTTGTTTATAATCAGTTTCAGTTGCACTTTCTGCTTGTTTAAGCAAATAAATGAAGCTTTAAGAAACTTTATTTCTGGAATTTATTTATTATCACCGTTATTAAATTGAAGTTGGACAGATGACTTGATAATGACTTGAAAATTCAAAGTTAAGGACTTGGACTTGACTTGGACTTCCACATCATTGACTTTGGACTCGACTTGGACTTGATTGTATTTGACCTGGACTTGACTGGAAAGACTTGTGACTTACTTGTGACTCGCAAAGCATTGACTTGGTCACACCTCTGTATTCTTCTATCTCCTCTGTACCACTTCCTGTCCTTCGTTAACCCGAATCATCCCAGCTGTGTTTACCTGTATTTAACCTCTCTCTGCTATCCTTTCAGTTGCTAGTTCATTGTTGTCTTTTAGCACCTCGTTCCAGCCCTTTGGAGTTTTTGATAGTATAAAGTTAAAGTCCCATTAGTCATCACACATCGGTGAAATTACATCTCCGCATTTGACCCATTCCTGTGGGGAGTGGTGAGCTGCAGCTGTGGCTGTGCTCGGGAACATGGTGGTATAACCCCCTAATCCAACCCCTTAAAGCTGAGTGTCAAGCATGGAGGCAGTAGGTCCCATTTTTAAAGTCCTTGGTATGACCCGACCGTGATTTGAACCCCAATCTCCCAGTCCCAGGGTGGTAGCTACCATAGGACACTGTGAAGTACAGTACTTTAACTTTTGAGTAATTTTCCCTGAGTTACCTATATTTTCTCATGTTTTTCAAACTAAATAAACTGGTAATATGTGAGTGAAACACATGCTTTCAGGGTGGTCCATGTTTCTGTAGACATCAAACATAAAAATTAAGCTTCAGAAAACAAAATGAACATTAGAGCCAGGTTATAGTTAACTACACTTTTATTGTTCCTTGTCCAATGAGAGGTTTCAGCTTCATCCCTCATTTGTGCCCTTCACATCCAGCAGATTTCTGAATTCCAGCCAGCAGCCAGGCGAGCTGCCAATTCCACGATGCCATCAGATCCTAAACATCATGTTTGCACGAGACTACAGGACTTTTTTTTTAAACAGAGTGAGATTCCTTTAGTCAGTTTACAAGCTTTTCTCCATAGAGGCTTCATGTGAAATGTTGGGTTTTCCTGAAGCTTAGCGGCTAATGCACATATTAGTCTAAGATCTACTACCTCTGACTTAAAGGGATGCCACTCAGGGATGGAATGTATTTCATAAGAGTCCTAGAAGTTTCTACGATGTTGGTATGTTGCAAAGTTATGCACCACTTTGTCTCTGATCTCATGCATGATATATTGAGCCACTGCTTCGTCCAAAAAATGTCAAAGTTCAAGGCATTCATGCATTTGGCAACCCATTTTTCTGATGATTTGTGGCATGAAGATAAACCAGGAAAAGCACTTTGTGGTGGACATTGATACTGTCACAATGCAACGAAGCATGACTAGCGTCTGTCATGCAGCCGATCACCTGGAGGAACTCAAAACGCAGCATTTGCTCCTCCTTTTAGAGGGAAATAAACTTTTTTTTTAAACTGACCAATCAGTGATGGGCCAATACATACAAATAGGATCATCACAAAGAAACAAAAAACACAAATTAATAAAGTTCATATGACTCAGATCATGTTATTAAAAAAAACTAACAAGGTGAACTCAAAACAACATCGAGAGCTTTGGATGAGCTCTTAGTGCCGATGGCTTTTGTTTACCTGTTGATATTTAGATCAGGAACCGACACAAGACTGCCGTTGGTCTTGTTAAAAAGTTGCCACAGGTTGGTCCGACGTTACACATTTAACAACGGTACAGTTCATGATTTCTGTTGAAATTATGACTCTCACACAAAGTCAACAATAAGAGGGGTGACATGAAATGCTGACATTCTTGCAAAGCACCAGCTGGCATCAATGAGGCCCTAATGATACAGTCAAAACAAAGTGGGCCTAGTGCCAGATTGTTTATCCAGCTTCGGGTCTCAAAATTAAACAAAATGCTGAAGCTTTGAAAAAAAAAACATCACTGCCCGATTTTCTTCCAGATCTTCTGCAATTCAGTTTCTCTTCATGTGACACTGGCACACAGAGTTTGGAAGTGGTAGTAACAGAAAATGTGTTACAGTTTAAAAATAAGCACCAGATATAGTTAAAATCAGCTTCCTCAAATATTATTGACAGTACACTTTATTAGATATGATAATATCAGTTATTGAATATATTAATTCAGCATGACATAAATTCTCTCTAAGCTTGTTATAAAAAGTGTGCAACAGGTTGAGATTTGCTTTGACTGTATCGCTGTAAGACAGTGTTTGCTTTATTTTCCTTAAATGCCACAAAACTGTAAATGAAGAAACAAAGTTTTTTTCATAAATTCATGCACTTGCCCTTCACAGCAATTTGTTTACCTTGTGGAATGCACTGAAGGGTTGATGCATTTTTTCTTTTTTCTTTATTTTAATGTCAGACAAATCCGCTTAGGTTCGGGGAAAAGAGAAAACCCATGCAAGTGTTATGATACAAACTTCCAGTTACGATCCAACCTAAAGCAAATCACTGTGAAAGACAAGAGCAATCATTTATATAAGGCCTTTGAAGTTGACAGATCCCTTTCGACACTCCTTTCAAAGAAGCTCTCCGTGGATAAATAAGGAATGTCATTGTCTGTTTCCTTTTTTGTTTCCATTTCCTGTGTTTTTATTTTTTCCACACACATGTCCCAGAGAGGCGAAGAGAGAGCTGGAAAGTGACATCCCGGAAAACAAGGGCGGGATACGAATTTGGGTGGAAAGATTCCCAAATCCCAATAGGTGTAAACCTTAAGCAACTGCAGGATTCTCCGTGGTACAACAAGAAGGGAAAGATGGCACTACATTCAAACATTCAGGAGGAGGAGAACCATCGGGAGGAGGAGGAGTAAGCTGGGGGATGCGGTGGGCAGGATTCCTCCACCTGAAAGAGAAATAAATCTTTTATTTTCATTCTTGGACTCCAAGCTATGATAAATCTGGAAAACAAGTTAGTATAAAACATCTCTTAACAATGTAAGACACAGTATAGCTTTGAATATATTGTGGAGATAAAAAAATTAAAAATAATGAAGTGGTTCCCTCGCATTTGTCTAAAAACATCAGCCAACAGCTCAGCTTGGTCTGAAACCAACTACTGGACCATCCGGTTGTCGTCCCGTTGGACCGCTGCACTTCCCTGGCTCCTCCATTCATTACACACTCACGTATAAACAGAACCCCACTGGTGTGACAGGTTCTCTGCTCAGTAAAATCAGAGAAGGAGAAACAGCCGGCTGCTACCACTTCAACTTTAGGACAAATTACCCAAAAAGAGAAACACCATTTGAAGTCATGGACAGCAAAAGACGTTTAGACCAAGAAAACAATGACTGGAGTTTGGTACTTTCTCGTTTCCTCTGACAATGCAGGTTTCCCGTTCTGGCGGACGTGGCCTAGGGAGGATACCCGACGGGAGGGATGAGAGTTCACGATTCAAGATCCTTTTATTGTCATTGCACAGGTGTACAACCAAACTAACTTTGCGCTCGCTAAAGATAGCTCACAGAAGGAGGTTGTAAAAAATAAGTAAAATAAAAGATTAAGGCTAAAATAGATGTCAAGCACACGCTCTCACACACACACACACACACACACACACACACACACACACACACACACACACACACACACACACACACGCACGCACGCACGCACGCACACACACACACACACACACACACACACAGCAGATTTAAGGTGCAAAAAAATATAGAATTACAAATGTAGACATGTCACTTTGTGTTTAAAAGCTAGCTTGTTCTGTAGATTTGCTGTTGCGGCTTTAACACAGATATGGAGGTAAAACAAGACAAAAAGTTATAATATCGTATTTGTTCATAAAGCTGTGTTCCTGCAGGTGTTGGGTAGGCAGATTATCTCCCTGAGCGTAGACAGAAATCCACAAAAATATATAAATAAATAAACTCTGGTTCTCTGAGCCAAAAGAACCGGCTCTCTAAAAAGAGCCGGAATTCCCATCACTACTAAATAACACTAGCAGCAGCTAAATGTGGCAAGGTCACATCTGGCAGGAATTATTTATGATTTCATCAAAATAATCCGATGTGAACTTGACAACAGTTTATAAAATAATGTTTACATGAGCAACTGCAAGATCTGGGTGTTTGGAGTTATTTGAAAGCAGCAGCAATATACCTGCAATCGGGCTAGGTCTAATTTGTCAGATCAACCATTTTTCCAAACTGAGGCCATTCAGGAGCTCTACGCTGGGTGAGATAATAATTATACAAAACCGTGACACAGAAAACTTCACAATAGCCAGAAAATCCCTTTAAAAGCCTCTCTATCAATTTCCTTTCATTTGAAATCCTTCCCACCTTAAATTCCCAGAGTCTCCTGAATCAAGCTGTCAGCCGGGATCTGGGCCGAATGATAAGGAATAAGAAAGAAAACCAAAAGAAGGGTTTCGTTTCCTCATCAAGATCAATTACAGAGGCTTATGTTCTCCTCTGTCTCGACAGCGTGCCATACCATGAGCCATGCAGCGGGAGGATCCGGTCAGTGGGCCATCAAGGCTTTAGTCACGGACCAGCTCGTTCCTCCAGTCTGAGGTATGAAACCTGATGTGATGACTTAGCTCAGGCCCGTTAGAAACCCCTGCCCTCAAATGATAACCTCCTGCTACCGCTGAGCCTATTTTAATCCCCCCAGCAAACAGCAGAATGAATAGTCACATTGTTTCATCTCAACTCCAAAGAGGCTAAATGTCACAAAAGTCTTTATTTTGTGTTTGACTGATGCAAATCTTCACAAAGATGGCAGGGATATTCTTAAACGGATTACACCGAATTACTCTTTTTAATTTACCCACGGAGAAAAATCTACTTAAAGGAAATCCAAACTGTTACCTGGTTTTGTCAAACAATACTTAAGCATAGATAAATCCTCACAAACTGTGAAGTATAATTAAAATCTCATGTCAATCATCTCTGAGAGTTTATGTTTTACCTTTGATGCTGGTTTGTGCCACAGCCCCGTCTCCTCCCTCCGTGTGCGCCCGCACTTCCACGACGTATTCTTCATCTGCATGCCACGGAAGGTCAATGTGCCGTTTACTGGTTGTGTACAGAGTGCCCACAGAGTTTCCCTTCTGCTTGTACAGCACCTAGGAAGATAAAATAATACGCTTTTGAAGAGTGCCCAGCTCTGAGTGCCTACAGTTTAATGCCAGAGGTGAACAAAAACATTGTACGTACTCTGTAGCCATCTATTGTTGACTCGTTAGCCAATGGTTCTACGTGCTCCCAGGCTATATTTACAGACTGGCCCTTTATCTTTGCACTTAGTATTTTGGGAGGTCGGTCTGGAGCTGGTACATTAAATAAAGCAAAACATTATCAATAACACCCCTTAGATGTTGTGTGGAGCAACACGATGTGTCATTGTTCCACAGTACAACATACGGGGTTTCTTGGTGTGGATCCTAAAGTGGCTGCTGGGAGGGCCATATCCCGCAGAGTTGTAGCCTCGGACCTCAATAAGGTATTCCGAGTTGGGCTTCAATCCCTCAAGTTTGGTGTGGTTCTCTGTGCCTGGCAGCACCACCCGTTGGGCTCCACCTTCACCATCTTCGTGATTCCTCCAATACTTTATCTGAAAGCCAGAAGAAATGACAGAAAGATGAATGGGATTCACCTTATTTCTGCAGGAATTTCAGGAAGATTGGGAGGGGAATGGCGTCATTGCATAATTAGAAAGAAGGCTTAAAGAGAAAATGTGTAGTTTTTACAGTTTATATCTGGAAATATTCACCGAAATGTTGTTGAAAATGGATAAAATGATGTCCAGCTGTTGAAAAATATTGGTGGCTTCATACCATATAACCATAAAATCAGGTCTATGTACGGACCCCTAGCACCAGGAAGCTACACACTCCCACTTGGCCACTTTCTAGGGTAGAACTAATGCTTTTACATCTACTTATAGAAAAGGTTTTGGGGTTCCTGCATTCTGGGGCAACGCCTGGATCTCTGGGACTTGGAGCTCCCCCCGTCTCCTGCGCATCTTTGGGGGGCGGATCTGTGGTCCCTCACACTCTCTGTTGGACGCTCCTATAGAGAAACCTTAAATAAACAAGCGCGTGTACACACACAGGTGCTCACATGGTGCTCTCAAAAGTATGGGCTTGGGTATGTTAAACACAGGTCTTAAGACTATGGTGGGCACTTAATGCACTGTGATTTATTATCGTGATTCTTCAGTTAAGCAATGTTGATTTTATATATATATATATATTGTTTTTTTGTTTTTTTTTCATCAAGTTGACGCAGTGATAGGTAGATCTTGTTGTATTGTTGTTGTGTCCCTTTTTTGTGTCCTTTTTTTTTTTTTTTTTTTTTTGTCTTTTTCTGCAGGTCTAGAAGCAGACTCTTGTTCATTGTTTATTTTTGTGGAACCCCCCCCCCCCCCCCTCTCTCCACCTTTTCTCTTCCTTTCTCTTTCACCTCTGTCTCCGTGTCTGGTCGGAATTACAAAGCATTCAACAACAATAACAATAAAGTTTTAAGTATCAGGCGTGACATTAAAAGCAAACGCTTTGATGCTCCACCTGAGAATAAATCTGTAAGGCTTGTCACCAGCATTCAGACATCAATTCTGCTTGCTTCACAGCCAGACAGGACACGGTAAAAAAATAAATAAATAAATACTTATAGAAAAGGTTTTGTTGGTAGGTGGGGCACATTTTCAGATGGAGTTTCTCCAAGTTGCCACTACATACTGTGCTGCATTACATTTGTTATATTATGCTACAGAGCTTTGACCACGTCCCGAGAGCAGTGGGGGACATTGAGTCCGAGTGGGCCTTGTTCCACTCTGCGATTGTCGAGGCGGCTGTTGCTAGCTGTGGCCGTAAGGTGGCCGGTGCCAGTCGTGGTGGCAACCCCCGTACCCGCTGGTGGACACCAGAGGTTCGGGGAGCCGTCAGGCTGAAGAAGGAGGCCTACAGGGCGTGGCTGGTCTGTGGGTCTCCGGAGGCAGCAGACAGGTACCGGATAGCCAAGCGGGGTGCAGCAGTGGCAGTTGCCGAGGCAAAATCTCGGGCGTGGGAGGAGTTTGGTGAGGCCATGGAGAAAGACTATCGATCGGCTCCAAAGAGGTTCTGGCAAACTGTCCGGCGCCTCAGGAGAGGAAGGCAGCAACTCGCTCACACTGTTTACAGTGGGGATGGGGAGCTGCTGACGTCAACTGAGGCTATAGTCGGACGGTGGAAGGAATACTTTGAGGAGCTCCTCAATCCCACCAATGCGCATTCCGAGGAGGAACCAGAGCTGGGAGGCCTGGGGATGGACTGTCCGATCTCGGGGGCAGAAGTTGCTGAGGTAGTCAAACAACTACACAGCGGCGGAGCCCCGGGGGCGGATGAGGTTCGTCCTGGGTATCTCAAGGCTATGGATGTTGTAGGGCTGTCATGGTTGACACGTCTCTACAACATTGCGTGGTCATCGGGGGCAGTTCCTAGGGAGTGGCAGACCGGGGTGGTGGTCCCCATCTTTAAGAAGGGTGACCTGAGGGTGTGTTCCAACTATAGGGGGATCACACTCCTCAGCCTCCCTGGAAAGGTCTACGCCAAGGTACTGGAGAGGAGGGTCCGATCGATAGTTGAATCTCAGATAGAGGAGGAGCAATGTGGTTTTCGTCCTGGCCGTGGAACTGTGGACCAGCTCTATACCCTTGCAAGGGTGATGGAGGGGGCATGGGAGTTTGCCCAACCAATCCACATGTGTTTTGTGGATTTGGAGAAGGCTTATGACCGTGTCCCCAGGGGCACCCTGTGGGGGACACTCCAGGAGTATGGGGTGGGTGGCTTTCTGTTAAGGGCCATTCAGTCCCTTTACCAGAGGAGCGTGAGTTTGGTCCGCATAGCCGGTAGTAAGTCGGACCTGTTCCCAGTGAGGGTTGGACTCCGCCAGGGCTGCCCTTTGTCACCGGTTCTGTTCATCACTTTTATGGACAGAATTTCTAGACGCAGCCGTGGTGTGGAGTGTGTCGAGTTTGGTGGCAGGAGAATCTCGTCTCTGCTTTTTGCGGATGATGTGGTCCTCCTAGCTTCATCCAGCTCTGACCTTCAGCTCTTGCTGGGTAGGTTCGCGGCCGAATGTGAAGCGGCTGGGATGAGGATCAGCACCTCCAAATCTGAGACCATGGTTCTCGACCGGAAAAGGGTGGCTTGCCACCTCCGGGTCGGGGGAGAGGTCCTACCTCAAGTGGAGGAGTTTAAGTATCTCGGGGTCTTGTTCACGAGTGAGGGTAGGAGGGATCGGGAGATCGACAGGCGGATTGGTTCGGCGTCTGCAGTGATGCGGACGCTGAGCCGATCTGTCGTGGGGAAGAGGGAGCTGAGCCAGAAAGCCAGGCTCTCGATTTACCGGTCGATCTACGTCCCAATCCTCACCTATGGTCATGAGCTTTGGGTAATGACCGAAAGAACGAGATCGCGGATACAAGCGGCCGAAATGAGTTTCCTCCGTAGGGTGGCCGGGCTCAGCCTTAGAGATAGGGTGAGGAGCTCGGACATTCGGGAGGGACTCGGAGTAGAACCGCTGCTCCTCCGGATCGAAAGGAGCCAGTTGAGGTGGTTTGGGCATCTGGTCAGGATGCCTCCTGGACGCCTCCCCGGGGAGGTGTTTCGGGCATGTCCTGCCGGCAGAAGGCCCCCGGGTCGACCCAGGACACGTTGGAGAGGTTACATCTCCAATCTGGTCCGGGAACGCCTTGGGGTCCTGCCGGAGGAGCTGGTGGACAAGGCCGGGGAGAGGACGGCCTGGAGCTCCCTAGTTGGGATGCTGCCCCCGCGACCCGGACCCGGATAAGCGGAGGAAGACGAGACGAGACGAGACGAGGCATGGGCATGTGAAGATAAATGTAAATGCCTTTGCATGAACCCCTAGGACATTTTAGAGAAAGTTATCTTAAAGCTGCTTCAGTTTGCCCCACTCGAACTAGCCGTTAACTCTTAATCTAGTCACAACTAATCCCTATTTCTCCAAACAGAGGTTGTTTAGAGCTTTCTAAATGATTCAAGATACTAACTGTTCATAATCCGTTTACAAAAATCCTCTAAACTATGCCCTATCTGTTTTTAAAAAATGTGTTTAAAATGTATTTTTTTAAATTAGCAATTTTAACGATATTTAAAGAGAATAAAACAAAAAAGATTGAAATGCGTCGTCGTCGTCGTCTCGTCGTCTTCCTCCGCTTATCCGGGTCCGGGTCGCGGGGGCAGCATCCCAACTAGGGAGCTCCAGGCCGTCCTCTCCCCGGCCTTGTCCACCAGCTCCTCCGGCAGGACCCCAAGGCGTTCCCGGACCAGATTGGAGATGTAACCTCTCCAACGTGTCCTGGGTCGACCCGGGGGCCTTCTGCCGGCAGGATATGCCTGAAACACCTCCCCGGGGAGGCGTCCAGGAGGCATCCTGACCAGATGCCCAAACCACCTCAACTGGCTCCTTTCGATCCGGAGGAGCAGCGGTTCTACTCCGAGTCCCTCCCGAATGTCCGAGCTCCTCACCCTATCTCTAAGGCTGAGCCCGGCCACCCTACGGAGGAAACTCATTTCGGCCGCTTGTATCCGCGATCTCGTTCTTTCGGTCATTACCCAAAGCTCATGACCATAGGTGAGGATTGGGACGTAGATCGACCGGTAAATCGAGAGCCTGGCTTTCTGGCTCAGCTCCCTCTTCCCCACGACAGATCGGCTCAGCGTCCGCATCACTGCAGACGCCGAACCAATCCGCCTGTCGATCTCCCGACCCCTCCTACCCTCACTCGTGAACAAGACCCCGAGATACTTAAACTCCTCCACTTGAGGTAGGACCTCTCCCCCAACCCGGAGGTGGCAAGCCACCCTTTTCCGGTCGAGAACCATGGTCTCAGATTTGGAGGTGCTGATCCTCATCCCAGCCGCTTCACATTCGGCCGCGAACCTACCCAGCAAGAGCTGAAGTTCAGAGATGGATGAAGCTAGGAGGACCACATCATCCGCAAAAAGCAGAGACGAGATTCTCCTGCCACCAAACTCGACACACTCCACACCACGGCTGCGTCTAGAAATTCTGTCCATAAAAGTGATGAACAGAACCGGTGACAAAGGGCAGCCCTGGCGGAGTCCAACCCTCACTGGGAACAGGTCCGACTTACTACCGGCTATGCGGACCAAACTCACGCTCCTCTGGTAAAGGGACTGAATGGCCCTTAACAGAAAGCCACCCACCCCATACTCCTGGAGCGTCCCCCACAGAGTGCCCCTGGGGACACGGTCATAAGCCTTCTCCAAATCCACAAAGCACATGTGGATTGGTTGGGCAAACTCCCATGCCCCCTCCATCACCCTTGCAAGGGTATAGAGCTGGTCCACAGTTCCACGGCCAGGACGAAAACCACATTGCTCCTCCTCTATCTGAGATTCAACTATCGATCGGACCCTCCTCTCCAGTACCTTGGAGTGGACCTTTGCAGGGAGGCTGAGGAGTGTGATCCCCCTATAGTTGGAACACACCCTCAGGTCACCCTTCTTAAAGATGGGGACCACCACCCCGGTCTGCCACTCCCTAGGAACTGCCCCCGATGACCACGCAATGTTGTAGAGACGTGTCAACCATGACAGCCCTACAACATCCATAGCCTTGAGATACCCAGGACGAACCTCATCCGCCCCCGGGGCTCCGCCGCTGTGCAGTTGTTTGACTACCTCAGCAACTTCTGCCCCCGAGATCGGACAGTCCATCCCCAGGCCTCCCAGCTCTGGTTCCTCCTCAGAATGTGCATTGGTGGGATTGAGGAGCTCCTCAAAGTATTCCTTCCACCGTCCGACTATAGCCTCAGCTTGAGTTAAAACCTATGACTGTCAGCAGCAGTAGACTATCAGATACCGACCTGGTATCCATCTATGTTATTTTCTGGGATGGGAATCCAGGAGACGGTCGAAGTTGTGGCAGAAAGAACTCGACCTTCAACATTTTCAGGAGCTTCAGAGGGAGCTGTACAAAAGACACATAATAAAATCTTATATTCTTATTTATATAATTTATATATACACACATAGTAATAAAACTGTTTATAATCCTGCATATTAGAAATATTAACATGTACTAAACTTTGACTTACAGAAACATATTTTTTTTACGTTTCTTGATCAGTTTTACCTGCCAGGCGTGGCGTAGCAAGTTTGAGCTGGGCCCTGGTGCAAGGGTTGCTTTACCTCTGCAGCAGCGTGCACTAAAGTTCAACCCTAAACCAGTTCTCCCAACATGGATTACCACAAGCCCGAATGCGCTCAACACACAGAACACACCATGGACGAATTTTAATGCATCACATGTCTGAGTTGGCATGTGTCCTTATCTCTGCTTTTGCATGGCTGGGCTCTCTCTCTCTCTCTCTCTCTCTCTCTCTCTCTCTCTCTCTCTCTCTCTCTCTCTCTCTCTCTCTCTCTCTCTCTCTCTCTCTCTCTCTCTCTCTCTCGCTCTCTCTCTCTCTCTCTCTCTCTCTCTCTCTCTCTCTCTCCACCGCAACAGTTGCCCCCTATGCCAGTGCTGCCAGAAATCTTTTACTTTCTTTTTCTGGTGTTTAATGTCTATTTACATATGGGAGATGGTCTGTATGTGTATAGTGCCTTCTTAGGGTTCTTCAACAAGGGTTCAAGGTGCTTCACAACACAATCAGTCATTCACCATTCACACACACATTCACACACTGGTGGAGATGAGCTACAAGGTAGCCACAGCTGCAGAGACGAGGCCTGCCGAACACAGGCACCACCGGTCCCTCTGTCCACCACCAGCAGGCAAGGCAGGTTACGGTAAGTGTCTTGCCCAAAGACTCAAAAGCGGCATTCTCTGGTCAGAGCCGGAATCGGACCAGCAACTTTCTTATTACCTGACAAACCACTCTACCTCCTGAGCCACTGCTGTCCCTTAAATATGATGAAGTGATTGAATGTTGACTTTCAACCCTGTAGTGGTTTAACAGAAACTTTACATATGCAGCAGCAAGAGACATCAGATAAAAACAAAAACATTTCAAGCCGTTGTACTCTTGTACAGAAATAAAAAACACAAAATGTTCTATTTATTCACCTATGAGCTAAGATCAGCAGCACTGCTATCTGTTGCAGGAACTTGTAGCAGGTTATAAATAAAACAAGCAACTATGTTAATCTGGTGATAATTGTAGAGCTTGTTGTTTATTTTTGATGTGACTATCGCCAAGAATTTTACTTAAAAATCATTCTGAAATATTCTTCATAAGTGATACACCACCAGGGCTTGGTGTATAGATAAGTCTGTTAAAAGTCTAAAGAGGCACTATCCTGTTTTTAGCATAAGCAATGTTGCTTCTGTCTACCTACACTGTGGGCCTGGTGAACCATGAGGCCTCATTTTGTGTAAAGGGGCGCATCCTTTGCAAATGAACTAAGGATGTGCATCACTGCGTCAAGGTGCACCTAGAGCACTAAGGACACACTTCGGATGCTGCCACAATTATTGACAGCACACAGCTTCTTCCCAATCAGGGGTCAACTTCACTGACAAGCTGAAAGATGGGGAAAAAAGTCTGCGTAGGGCCTCAAATTGGCTAGGATGGTCCTGAGCATAAGCACAGAAAGTAGTGCTAATGTAGATTCTTGTTGATGGCGAGAAAAGCACTTAGTGTCCGAATCACCAACAAAGACTATTGGATCTTGTCTCCCTCAGTCTGTCACACTCATTGTGCCCTTGGACAAGAAATTTAACCCTCCTTGCCTGCTGGTGGTGGCTGCAGGACTGTTGGTGCCAGTGGTCGGCAGCCTCGCTTCCATTAGTGAGCCCCAAAGTAGCGGTGGCAACATTGTAACTCATCACCACCAGTGTGTGAATGTGTGTGGGAATGGGTGAATGGCTGATTGTGTTGTGAAGCATCTTGGAGAGTTGCAGAACCCTAAGAAGGCACTACATGCAAGCAATTTTCCATTCTTTATGGCTGTTGTTGCTGATTTCACCAGTAGATTACAATAATAACAGGGTCTTCTGGCACACTCAGTGTCTCTTACACACAGTGTTGTTTTATGCTAAACTAAACTTGTGTGGATCAATGTGGAAAGAAGCTGTTATTTAGTGGTAAATCTTCTCACTGGCTTGGATATTCACGGCTTCACATGGAGTCAAAGGGGTTTGTTAGGAGAACTTTAAAGTCACGCTTATATCCTAAAAAGGCTATTGTTTTTGAGCTGTTACCATGGCAGCAGGGCATCACTGTAACCCATCGGGTTTGGATTGCTCAGTGTTATCTCAAATGTCTGTCACTGGAAGTTAATAAGTCAGCTAAATGCTTCACATCACTGGGCAAATGATAAGCTTTCTCGTTCATGCGACGCAGGTCATTTTCATCTTCCCACACGGGAAGATATGTTCACTTTCAACAGGTATTAAAATTCCTCAGAACAATACATGAGAACTTACTTTGTTTGAGATCACGTTTGTGCGTTTGAATGTTGACAGATGTCATTGCTCACCATCCTGTGCAGAGTACACGACAGCTGTAAGGCTGTAGGGTCCCTCTCCTTGGTTGTTGAATGCTTTAACTTTAACGTCAAACTTTGTCAAAGGAGAGATGCTGGCGTCTTTGTGAACGTAGCGCTTGGCCTGGGGGTCAGCCACTGCCACCCTCTTCCATTCAAATTCATCATGAGGTTTAAAGGCGACGATGTAGCCAAAGTTGGGCCCGTAGTAGTACTGAGGATGTACCGGCTGATGACAAAAGATAAAAGAAAAGAATGATGTGGAATAGACTTTGAAGACACTGAGACACAGTATTCCAAAAGGACCATCTCATAATTAAAGTTATTTAAGTCCATTCTCTAAGAAAACATGTACTCACTTGTTTGTGCCCGTCTGTATCTACAGGGCTCTAAGTTTTTAGAGCATTGATCAAACAAGTAGAAGTTTGGGCTCATTTTTCACTCACTAATTTACAGTTTGTGAGGCCATAGATTATATAAATGAAGAAAGATTGCTCAGACTGGGAGTAGTGGGCCTTGCAACAAAGAGCTTTGATTTCATGCATGTCCTCTCAATTTGTAAAAAAGTCAAAGGGTAGAAGAAGAAACTATTTTTTATATAGTGCCAAAATCACAAGGCACTTCAAAAGAACTAAACACTATGAATTCAACTAAATGTAAAAAATGGGAAAATTAAAAGTTCTGATTAAAAAATGTGAGGCAGGTTTACTCCTAGAGCCTACGGAGAAACATGTCACCAGAGGAAATGATCATACATAGAAAGAGAGAAAATTGATGAGTGAAATTGGCTGTTTTTCTTGTGGGTTAAAGTTAGGTAACCAGTATGGGATACTGTTAATTTTTATTTGATCTACCCACCGTACTTCGCTATAACACCATGATATAAAAACTGACTTTTGGATCAAGAATATGTTTTATGGCATTTTCAGAACTCATGATGGAAGAAGAGCTAAAACATGTAAACCTGAATTTTAAAGCAATTGTTGCTACAAAATCAGTTGTAGAACAGAAAATCATCATTTCAGTTAGTTAGCCAAGTAATCTCTTTCTATACAATGAAATTATGAATAAAAGTATGCTAGCAGTCATATGCCTGCTGTGGATTTAGAATTTGAAGTACAATATATTTTTAGTTGTTTTACTTAAAGTTGTGGCAACATATGTATTACTTTGAAACACCAGGTTTACCATGTCCTTTTCCCACCTTTTTTTTATTTTTTTCTATTTAAGCATATGATGAACTGCCATTATGAGAGCTTCTATCTGTTCTCCACTCCCCAGTTTGTTGAGTGGAACATGCAGACTCACCGTCCACGTAATGGTCAACTCTCTGCTGGCCCCTCCACCCCCTCCGACATCCGAGGGCGCCACCACAGGATCTGCAGTAAGACAGCAACAGCAAGAAAAAAAATCATCCCACATGCTACAAATCCTCACAAACAAAGCCAACCCACACAGGCTGTAACTTTGTCCTGGCTGTGCAACTGAAACATCCTTCCTCTGCAAACACAGTATCGATGTCTCCTCCTGCGCCAGACTCCGGCTCTTAACGTGCGTGTAGGAAACGTGCCAGCCAGAGAGGCAGTGAGGGAAAAGCCTCTCTCGCTTGAGCTCACCTTCAACTGGTGATTATTATTTTAAGAGAGGTCACTGCAGGTCTGTGATTCACATTTCATAGATGAAGTTCAGTGTACAATTTCACCAACATGCTCATTTGTGGTGGTTTGTGGTTAGTTTGGCAGCTTGTGTCTGCTTTTAGAAGCAAAGCACAATATAAATACTGTTGACTCATTTCTACTGCCATCAAAACACGGCAATAATAGAATGACAATGTATAAGTAACTAAATAAAAAGCTAGGCTGTTAGAACATTTACTTACCATCCTCTTCCTTCCTTTTTCTGCTCTGTGAGGAATAAATACAGTCAGACAACAGGAATAATAAACCCATTTTACCTGAATCCAGGGTTGTTTCTTTAGGTGACGGCCTGCTTGGATCTCCTGTTCCCAGAGTGTTGATGGCGATGACTCTGAACTCATATTCCGTCCAGGGGATCAGATTTATGACTGTGGCAGTCTCTGTGTTCCCCTCAACATCAGAGGGAACTGTGGAAAAGTTATTATTATTAAAAAGGACCAAGCACATGTTGTACTTTCTTAAAATGTAACCAAAGAACTATAACATTTACTAAAGCATAATACATTCTATTTATCTTTAAAAGACAACCATCATGATCTGCCCTCAGCCAAGATCTTACTGGTAGTGGCGTTCTTCCAGACATCTTTAGAAAACTGGTCCCTGTACTGGATGATGTACTTGGAGATGGGGCTGTGGTGGTCTGCTCCGCGGAACCACTCCAACGTCATGCTCTTATCTGTTCTGTTTACTATTCGTACTCCACCAGGGGCTCCGGGGGGACCTGAGTTAAACATGACGAGTTGAAAAAGATGAACTGAAAAAAAAGATTGCTTTATCTTGTTTTTCTAAATAATCTAAAGCTTTATCTTAAATTAAATGGCCTGTATCTGATGTAGCACGTGGAGTCCTGGGACCCCCCAAAGCACTTTACAACACAATCAGTCATTCACCTATTCACACACACATTCACACCCTGGTGGTGATGAGCTATGATGTAGCCACAGCTGCCTTGGGGCACACCCTCCGACCACCACCAGCAGGCAATGTTTTTTTTTTTTTAAGGCAAGAAAATCTTTATTATCAAGAGTGCAAAATTGTCAAGAACATGGAAAGTTTAGATAAAACAAAAAAGGACAAAGCATAGATGTTACTGCTGAACCCTGTAAACCCATCCGCTGTCTCTGAGTGACCATTCAAGCCGTTCCCAGTCCTGGGAGGGTTTTTATGTGGGATTTGTGTGCAGCTCTTTTCCATCACTCGGCTGAACAACAGTCCTTTACGCTCCCACGTGCCTCAGCGTGAGACCTCTCTGCTGTCACGTTTGCTAATGGGAGTTTGGAGCCAAGCTGCGATGCCTGACCCCTCGGTCTCACGACATGATGTTTTCTTTAGAAGAGTGTCACTATAATGAGCAGTTTTAGGGTTTATGTCTTTAAGCTGATTTACCCATGGAAAGGGACAGATCTTTACTAATATGGACACTGAAATAATAGGACTGTGTCCTCCAACATGTATGTTTGATCCGTCAAACTGAAAAAAACAAAAAACCAAAGTCTCATTTTGGCATCGATCAGCTCGACAACAGAGCTGTGAAACGTAACCTTCAGATCCATGGACTAACGCCACTTTTACACACAGAGCAATGAAAATCTTCTGTTTCTTATTTTCAACAAATCTTTCAATGGGTTTCAACAACTTTTCTGTTGTCAATAAGTTCTGCTGGACCCCAGAAACCCTTTCTTTCTTTCTTTGCAATGGGATTTAAGTGTCTTGCCCAAGGACACAATGACAGCAACAGACTGAGCGGGGCTCGAACTTGCAACCTTCCGATGGGGGGTAAGCACTTAACTCCTGTGCCACCGTTGCCCCATTACACAGTCTGACCATTTTAAAACAAACATTTTGTCTTAAGACTTTTTATCTTGTCTTGAGCAATGGAACAACTTCAAACTTCTGAATGACATTTTTTTTCAAGGACCTCAGCAAAAATTGACATATTAAGGCATCAAAACATCCAGCGCTGTGACATAAATAAACTGCAGCTTCACCAAAACCTTTCAAACCCAATGTTTCTCTTGGTTGTCAAACTGCTCATGAAGAAAAACTTAATAGAAAAGCCAGGCTACGTCAGGGTTTGCCCTCCCAACCATAGTCATAGAAAGCAGCCATAGTTCACTTTTTCCAAATGAGCAGAAAATGACAGAAGTAAGAAGGATTTAATCAGAGTGAAAGCTTTTCCTACCCTCTAACGAACTGAAAAGCTATGCTACTTAATACAAATTACTTTTTACTACTTGCCACCTAAATATAAATTGTGTCATTTTTATCTCATGAAAAAGTTGACAAAGTTTCTTGGAGCTGTCAGAAAGTTTTCACCAAAGGTTCAATGAACGTGATTCAAGATGACTTCCAAAGCTAACTGACATTAGTAAAGACACAGTCACAAAATAATGATATGGTTTTATAGATATTTATCTAAAATGTGGAGTTATAATACCTAAGAGTCCTCCCAGTCAAACGCTTCAAATGCTACACAAACAGTGACTCTCTCACTCCCGTTCCGTGAGTTTCATGGCTGTTGCCAGTTACGGATCAGCACCGGAAGATTCTAGATGACAGGCGAAGACGAGTCATACACACTAAGTTGGTAAGTAGATATAAATACTTTGTCTAATTTGGAGTTAGCAGTCTTAGGCATTTTACGGTAGGAAGCACTTAATACACTTATTACGATAATATGCCTCTGACATTATAGGAGTTTGCTAGCCTGACCAGCCAGCCCCATGCGGATGGGAACTCTTCTATTCAAATAACCCCGCCCCCTGAGAATTCTAACAGAGCCAATCAGCGCTGCGGAGCGTACGTCACACACATGCCGCGACGCTGAGTTTCTCATAAACATAATGTTTGAAGCGGCGTTCGCTGCGGCTCTTTCCTCTGTTCTAAATGACTTGAACAAGTCTTTAAAACCATAACAAGAAGAAGCGTTAAAAGCCTTTCTGCTAAAAGAAGATGTTTGCACAGTCGCCAGACGCTCTTTTTGACTACAGCTAAAAAACTACAGCATCACGTGGTACAGTAGGCATTTCTGCCTTTTTTCTGATTGATTATTTTTAAGCAGTCCCGCCCCTCATGTGCCTCTCTGCCTGTGAGTAACGGGACTAGTTCTCTGTGTAGAATTAAACAGAAGACAAGTCGGGCAGGCCAGGCTAGGAGTCTTAACGACTCGTTGAAGGAAGTAAAACGTCACGACTGACTCGTTATTCACTTCACACATACATTCCACTGCAATATCGAGTTGTTGGTAATTGGAAAAGTAGCTTGAAATATTTTTAGAGCAGACGATTTGCTTCCAAAAAACCATTAGCAATGTTAGCTCAACATTAGCCTCTAGTCTTCTTAACCCAATTTTGAGTAAAACAAAAAATGCTGTGGCTTCTTAAAGGTACAAGTATAACTTCTTGGTTGCTCCTGTTTACTGACTTTGGCTCTGGAGCTTTTTGCCAGCAGATGTTGAATTACAAACGTTGCTGCATTAGCTCGGCACAGACTCAGCAACCCCACTGTCTCACACATAAACAGCAACTGCATCAAGTTTTAGGAGAAAATCTGACAAACCCCCCGCCAGTTGAGAAAGAATTCTGTTTCAGTGTAACCTTCCTTCCAACATGATTGGGACATTAGATTGTTTTATAATTATTATTTAATTTGTTGTAAAATTCATACATATTGCTCCTTTAAAACTTCGGCCTTAACCTTTAGAGTCGATCCCATTAAAGATGGTTGCCATGATTCATAAACTTTAGATAGCACATACATGAGTAGACCTCAGTCAGTTTTAGTGTAGCGTTACTTAAGAGTCATTCACAACCCATTCTTGGAAATATAGATTGTGCAAGACTCTGTAATCTTGTATGAGATTGAGTAAAAGATTATTTTTTTAAGATTTGACCAAATGATATTAGCTTAAAACTTTCACATTAAAGCCAGTGAACACTATGCATTCTCTCCAGGAACACAACATCTAACTGTATATTTGCCAAGTAGGATTCTTTTTTTTTTTACATTGTATTTTCCCAAATTATAATACAATATGTCTAGAATTAGCCATTTGTCAACAACTGTTCTGAAAGTAGCAACAGCAACACAATCAGGACACAACAAGGATCAGTGGAGATCACTGCCAGAATCCCTGAGTGGTGATCTGAAGGAAACCTTTGTCCCGCCAACACTGTGCCTGCTTTATGGCCAGAGGAGAAGACTGTAAGGTAAGCTCTCGGTCATCAATAAGCAGAAAGAGAAAACAAAGTGATGAATCCACCAAAAGGTGAAATACTGAGACAAAGAGTAGCAGCGTTTACTTTGTGTCTGCTAATATCAAGTAGTGAAATCAGCAGCTGTTTATCAAAAGCTGCAAGGAGAGAGATAAAAATCTCTGACTCATTATGTACTCATCACATTCTCCTTTCACTCATAATGAAGCCAGATGGTTGGACTCAAAACATGTTTTATAGAAACTGAAGCATTTTTCTTCCCATTCAGTTTAATCAGCCACTGTGACTCTGAATCCACAGCAACAGATTTCATAACAAATAACAGAAACCAGATGTTGATGTGTTTATTTCCAAAGTGCACATGTTAGGTTTCTTGAATAACTCCTCATTATTGTTGTGACATTTAAGGCTAAAGCCAAGAGGGAACACAACAGCAAAGGTACATCTGAATGTTTGGATGTTTAAGAAATAAACAGTTTTTGGTAACTAAATAGTTCTGAGCTTGTATTTTAGTGCTGTCTTCTCATTGTTTTTAAGCTTTTAAAGCACTTTGCCTCTAACTTTGTTTGCAGGTTTACTGGTTAAAACTACAATTAGTTTAGTCAGTGTGACAATTTTTGCACTTTTTGCACTTTTGCACAATACTTTATGAGAATGTGTCTGATAGATTATAAAACTATTTTTGTCGTTGCTGCAGTTTAACAAGCTCTATAGACCTAAAGTGTCCAACGATTCCACTCCTAAGTTCGTATCTAAAACATTAATCAAGAGGATATTTAGGCATCATCTAATGCAGTTTTGGCTCTAAAAAGCTTAGGTGTTGCTATAATCATCTGTGGATAACATGAATTTATAAAAAAGAATATTTGTCAATAAACAAACTGGGCAGACCTGTACTGAGTTGGATTTGTTTATAAAAAAGTAATTCCAATTGTTTCTTTATGTAATTTAAGATTTGTATATTATTTTTACTTTATCATCTGTGCACGGCTCTTCGTTTAGCAGAACATATTCATCGCAACAGAAAGCAGTCAGTGGGGCAGTCTGCAGCGTAGAAGAACAGGGTTGTCATGTGTCCAACAACCTCAGCAATTTCTGTCAGAAATCCTTCAATTTAATAAATAGTTGAAAGTCAACGCCAAAGCCGTTCCGTTTCAAAAGAGGGCCATTCTTGAGCTCTAGCCTGCCTAACAAATATAGAGCACCGTAATTAGCCAGAGACAAAACTGTTTGGGCCAATGGTAGACCTGCTGAGGCTACAATGGAGCGTAAATAGACTGATCTGTAGGGCAAAATCCTTTTGCTACTGCAATGGTAGGTCTAGATCTAAAGACAGAACACAACCTTCCACTTTTACCAGAGCTAAGATCATCTTAGAAATATTGAAGCTAGTTGTATTTGTCAGATTTTATAACCAATCACATCACAAGATCTTTGTGTTGGCTCATAAAGTGTTGAAATTGAATGTCTGCTACTACCACCCTTAATTGTAGAATAAATTGTGTAA